AAGAAGGCCAAGTGGCTTCAGGTGAAGGCCAGGCTTCTTTGCAAAATTACAACGGCTTTTTGGGCCCGCCACGTCAGAGAAGCGCGCCCCACGATGTCCCTTGCGCTCGCGCTCCTCGCGCTCATGCCGCGCGCCGCGGTCCTCCCGACGACGCGCGTCGCCTTCGTCGTGCCGTCGCTCGAGGCGTCGCTTGCGGTCGTCGGCTTCGTGGACGCGCCGGAGGCCTACGGCGGCCGCGGCCCGCGCGCGCCCGTGCCGCCGCCGTTCGCCCTCCTCGCGCTTCCGGCGCTGGTCGTCGCCGCCGCCGCTCGGGCGCGCGCGAACAAGATCGCGCCGTCAGTCGTTTGCGCGCGCGCGGCGGGCGTCACGCCACGCTCGAGCCCGACGCGGGCGCCGAAGAGCTTCCTCCACGAGTTGCGCGCATTCGAGGCGCAGGTGGAGCGCGAGCTCCGGCTCGCGAACGCGGCCGCGTGATGCTCCGCCGCCCGCGCGCCTCCCCGGCCCGCGACCTCGCCGCGCGCGGCCTAAAACTCCACGAGGGCCCGACGACGAGTTTTACGCGGCCGCGACGCTAGAGCTCTAGTTGCTTCGGAGCTCCTAGGGGGACGTCGAGGTGGGCGTCGTGGGCGTCGCGGGCGTCGTGGGCGTCGTGGGCGTAGGCGTCGCGCTCGGCGTCGGGGACGCGGTGGCGCGCGCCTCGTCGACTGCGTCCTCGAGCAGGTCGCGCATGAAGTCGAGCTCGTCCGGCAGGCTCGCCTTGTCCATCGCGAGCACCTTGCTGGCCTCGCGGCCGCGGCCGAAGGCGTCGGAGTTCATGGCGGCGCGGTAAAGATCGAGCGTGACGGAGTCGAGGATCATGGTGAGTGGGAGATAGCTTTGGAACTCAACTCCAGTTGACTGGGGTCTTCACCAACTGCCAATTGCCAACTGCCAACCGTCAAATGGCCGCCCGCGCCCCCCCGTCGAGTTTCAACGACTCCGAGTCGTCGAGCGACGAGTCGTCGCTCTCCTCCGGCGACGAGAGCTCCGACGACGAGGAGGACGTCGCGCCCACGCCGATCAAGGCCGCCGCGGCCGACGAGCCCGCGGCCAAGCCGGCCGACGAGCCCGCGACGGCCGCGAAGCCCGCGCCGACGGTCGCCGCGTCGCCGCCGCGCAAGCAGCGCAAGGTCGACCCGGAGAAGCTCACGCTCTACCTCCTCGCCGCCGGGTTCACGAAGGTGACGCTCAATCACCAGGGCCACTGGCTCTCGCCGTCGGGCGCGACGTACTCGAGCTCGCGCGCGATCCTGAAGGCGTACCTACGACCACTGCGCGTAGGCCGCGACCACCACCCAAGCACGGCCCGCGCCGCCCACGCGCGCCCCGCCCCGCCCAAACCCGTCGCGCGAGGTCCGCGTTCGCGCTTCCAAAACACGAGAACCCGCCCACGCCGCGCGCGCCCCCAAACTACGTCTAAAGACTAATCAGCGCGTCGCGCACTCGGGGGGAAGGCATGCTTAGGCCGATGCGCGCCGCCGCGCTCCGGGCGGGCGCGGCTTTTGCGCGCGCGCGAGGCCGACTCGTCCTTCGCTTTGCCCGAGGGGGATCGGAGTTGCGCTCGCGGCGGAGGGGGAGGGCCGCGGCGCCTAGTCGTCGAAGGCGAAGGTGCGCGAGTCCTTCTTCTTGAGCGCGGCGGGCTTCTTCATGGCCTCCCAGTTGACGCTGACGACCGACGCCGCGTCGTCCTCGAACTCCGCGTCCTCATCGATGACGGCGCAAGAGCTCGACGCGCGCGACGCCTGCGGCGAGCAGCGCCCGCCGTACGCGGACCAGGCGGTCGCGTCGAAGGCGCGCATGCCCTTGACGAGGGCCTGGAGGCGCGGGTTGGAGGCGTTGGAAGGCATGACTGTGAAGGGGTGGAGTGCTTAGGAGCTCTGTGAGTGAAACAAACTTTGAAACAAGCCTGCCCCTTCTTTGCCCCTTCACCACGCCTACCCCGGCCCACAGAACGCCCTCCGACGCCTCCGGAGCCCATGCCGCCCCGCAACGCGGCCTTCCTCGAGGTGCTCACGGCGAGCTGCCACGCCCGGGGCGCGAGGGGGGCGGCCGCGGCCTGCGCGCCGCTCACGCTTCCAGGGCCGCCGTCGGCCGCGCCGCGCGCGCTCGCGGCCGTCGTCGCGACGTTGCTCGCGCGCAACCAGGCCGGCGTGGTCGTCGTCGCCGCCCTCGTGCTCTGGGCGAGCCGCGCCGCCCGGCGCGTGAGCCGCGGCCGACCCCGGAAGCCGCCGCGCTTCACCGCGATCGTGACGCCTCGCCGCGCCGCGGTCGACCGCTGAATCGCGAAACCCAAGCATGCGCACTCCGGCGCACGGGAGCCACCGCGCGATGCGACCGGTTTAAGGCCTCTACGGGCGACTCCTCGCGGCGTGGCCGCGTCGCCGGAATTTCGCGGAATCCGAGAGCGGGGCCGGCGGACCGCGCGCGCTAGGCGCTCCCTACGCGCGAAAACGCTCGCGAAGCTCGTTAAGCACTACGCCTAGCCCCCTGCTCACGGGTCCTCGTGCTCCGGGGACGGCGTTGCGCGCGCGCGGCTAGGGGCTCTTCGGCGCTTCCGGGGAGTCGCGAAGAAATCGATCGTCGAGCACCACGAGGGCCGTCACGACGGCGACCGCGGCCGGCGCATCTTCGCCTTGAGCGACGGCTCCGCGTAGGACACGACGCCCTGGGCTCCCGGGCGCCGCGCGCGACGCTTCGCGGGCCGCGCGTGGTCGTCGAGCTTCAGCGACGCGTCGTCGGGCGAGCGCGCGCCGCGCGTCGACGGCGAGCTCGTCGACGACGTCGACGCGGACGGCGGGCTCGGCGGCGCCGTCTGCGTCGACGCGTCGGCGACCGTCGGGCCGGTCGTCGCGGCGATCAACCTCCGTTTCAACGCCCTCACGGCCCCGCTCAACGCGACGGAGGCCGCGCGCCGCTGAACGAGCTCCGCCGTGAGCTGTCGATTGTTCTCCGCGAGGGCCACGAGGGACAGCTCGACCGCGGGCGGCGCCCGCGCCGGCCGCGGCGCGCGGCGCGGCCGGCGCGAGGTCATTTTGGACAGGGGCTTTTTCGAAG